GTGCTGATGGACAGGTGTGGGAGGTACCTGTGCTGATGGACAGCGTTGAGCAGTAAGGAAACATGTTGTTGACACTCTTTTAGAGAACGAAGAACTTCCGCTTCTACCTTGTGCCAGCCGCCCTGCAAACATTTTATTTTATTACTTCCACTGTATTGATCTTTGAAGTTACTGATCACATCCAATAATCAATAAACCTTTAACCACGGCAGGTTACTGACTGTGAAGTGCTGCTCCAGCTCTGCTTTGAAGGTTCTGAAGGCAGCCATGATGTCAGATGTCAGGTCAGACTTTAGCACCGCCCCTGGCTCAGACACAGGCTCCGCCCCTGGCTCAGACACAGGCTCCGCCCCTTTGTAGAACAGCTCCTTCACAGTTGGCTCCGCCCCTTCAGGTGGACAGGTGAGTGGCAGCAGATTCATAGAACATAATTTCAAAATAAAAACCAAAAACTAAAGAATTTACCTTCGAGTGCTAAGTTAGACCCCTCCCCTTCCTGCTGAGGCTCCGCCCGCCTCTTCTGGACCGGTGTGCCCTCAGTTTGGTCTGACAGGTAACCTGACCACAGGCAAGTAAACACTTTGAACTTCACAGTTTTATTTAATTCTGATTTTGATCTGTTTGATTGAGCATTTAGTTTTTCTCTGGAGCATGTCTCTCTCTTTACATCAGAAGCATCCCATCGGTCTGGACGGCATGTTCTCTTCTATCTCTAGCTCAATTCTAAATGACACTGTTCAGTTTTCTAAATCCGTTTGTTGTGCATTTAGGACAGGGGTCTCGAACTCCGGTCCTCGAGGGCCGCAATCCTGCAAGTTTTAGATGTTTCCTTCTTCCAACACACCTGATTCAAATGATCAGCTCATCATCAAGCTCTGCAGAAGCCGGATAACGATCCTGATCGTTTGAATCAGGTGTGTTGGAAGAGGGAAACATCTAAAACTTGCAGGATTGCGGCCCTCGAGGACCAGAGTTCGAGACCCCTGATTTAGGACATGTTGGAAATGCGTCTCATCTCCACACACTTGTTCTTTGGTCTGCAGAACTAGTGATGATGAGTGTTTTTCTTCAACTGTCCAAATGTTCTATGCATGCTTTCTGCTTTTTGTAACAGCGATGGTCCTCCAGTGCAAGGAAGTTTTAAATAAGAGTTTTCATGATGACACTGAATCAAAGAGGAGACCTGAGTCTGGAGCTTCTCTCTTCCTCAACGCCTGCTGAGAAAACAACAAGGGAACAGCTTAAAACCAGCCAACAGCAAATGTTTTCACTGACGAGCAAAAAACTGAAATGAACCTTTTCTAAAGGAGAGCGGCTTCGTCCAAACTCCTCAGTGCGCTCCTGTGACACCTGTAGCTCCGCCCCCTCAGGAACACCAGACACAGGTAGCATCGGCTCAGACAGGTGGGCTTCTGGGGCCTCAGCATCATCAGCCAGATCAGGGATTACCTGAAAACCAGCTGAATACAGACAGACAGGTGTGAGGGGGCGGAGTTGTAGGTTGTTGTCTGTTATTTACAGAATGTTGTTTACACTGTGTTGTTTACAGCCTGTTGTTTACGGTGCCTTGCTGACAGCAGTACATACGTAACCAGACTCACGGCGGACTGTGGGAGTCGAGTGTCTGATCTGATCAAACAGGATCTCGGCTCTGCTTCTGGTTTTCGGCTGAAAAACAGATGAGTGATGGTCAGACTTTATAAACACAAACAACTGTTTGTTGGTGTTGGTGTTGTTACCGTGGATACGGAGGAGTCTTCTTCACTGCTCGGAGATGACACCGGTAAAACTACAGACAGACAGACAGACAGACGTCACTGAAGGAAGGAAATGATGATGATGTAATAAACGATGAGGATGATGTAATACGTGACGGAGGCGGGGCTAGTGACTCACTCCTCAGCTGACTGTTACTCGGAGCTTTTTTGCGGCCGTAGGATCGACCACTGGGCTTCTCTGCAGAGGGGGAGGCCTGGACTGTACCACCTGCGTCTGGGGGGCGGGGGGAGCGCTGCGCCTTCTGTAAACACAGTCGACCAAATGTGATTTGCTGCATTTATTGGTCTGTCTTTGCTTTGTCATAAGATGTTTCAAAGGCCAGAGATAAGCTCCGTGTTTCGGACACCTGAGAACAAGCTGACCACATGTGACAACACCTGTATGCACCTGGACCAGGAAGACCATGTGACTCAACCAAAAGCTCCAGGACAGCAAGCGTATGCAGCTTCTCAGAAAATCAAGACAAACTCTGATTTTCTGACAAATAGGAGAGACGACTGAGAGAAAGACCAACAACTGACAGTGAAATGTGGCGGCCATGTTGGTCTGCAGGTCAACAGTCTGGTCTGGACCTTCAGTCAACTTAAACACCTGGAACACTGTGAGACAGAGACAGGTGGACAGACGGTACCATGAAGACCCTCCCGGCCGCCTCCTGCAGCTCTCTGTGATGTTCACACTTGAAGCTCAGCTGCACCGTCTGTCCTCTGCTGCCGTGGTGCATGATGGGATTGTTCAGCTGGACGCTGAGGACCGTCTCTGCCTCTGGGCATCATGGAAAACACAGAAACACAAAACCTGAGAAACTGACCCAACGGCAGTGACTGGAAACGGACTGATATATCTTGTGTTTGGACTTGTCTGGTTCTGCTCCAAAATGAAGCAGCAGACCGTTGGTACCATCTGAAGCCCAACACCTGAAAACCTGAGAAATCTCCAAAGTGACTCAATTTATCCCCAAAAATTGTAAAAACAGATACAAGCATCAGAGTTCTCGACTTTCTGATGTTCTGTCAGGAAACGAACCAAATCTGGTCCGAAAAACAGATATTTCATCAAAATCACTCTTTTCTACAGCAGCAACCTTCCTCCTCCTGGTTCTGATCCTGTAGAACCAGAACCTTCCTCCTCCTGGTTCTGATCCTGTAGAACCAGAACCTTCCACCTCCTGGTTCTGATCCTGTAGAACCAGAACCTTCCTCCTCCTGGTTCTGATCCTGTAGAACCAGAACCTTCTTCCTCCTGGTTCTGACTCAGCTGTGACCAACAGGAAACATCCAGAGAGCTTCAGGTGAACTGCAGCCAGAGTTTCCTCAGAGAGACTGAAGGAGAATCCATCCTACTGGATCAATGAATGGATGCAGCACGGATCAGAACCAGAGACCAGAGGAGCCAGCTGGTGGAGATACATTCATCTGATGGAGGAACCTCTTCCTACATCTGATGGTGGAACATCTTTCTACAGATGTTCTGGTCCTGCAGAGCTACAGGACTTTATGTTGTGGTGTTCTGCAGTGTTCTGAGGTGTTCTGACCGTCACGTTTATTCTGGAGGCTGTAATGATCCACGTCCTCCTTCAGCAGGTGGATGGATCCCCACAGAAAACCCTGAAACAGAAACTTCAGTGTGAACATGACTTTAAACATGAGTCTGCAGGCAAATCTCGACCCCAAGGAGAAAGGTTCTACATTAGCAGCCTTCCAGGATGAACCAGACCACCTGTCACACCCCCGTATTCCCACTGCTTTGGACTGGTCCACTGTGATGAACGCTGGACGCCTGACTGACTGAACGTTTACTAAACGCATATTGAATGTTTCATGAAATGCACTCAACATTTATGTAACAATTATGGAATGTTTACTGAACATTTACCAGACGTTGGCTCCAAACTACCTGACACCATGTGAACCTGATCACTGAGAGATAAAACCAATGGTTTAATGTGTTAATATCCAGGTTTTAGACGGTTTA